TCACATTGGATGGAGTGTACAGGGTGGTGTGGATGTTTATGTACAGGGTGATATCGGCTGATTGTCCGGGATATACAACACCCGTAAATATAATTTATAAATAAATTAATGACATGGAAGAACGTTTTATAAATTTTACCTCGGCCTTCACAGCGTGTACAACTCCAGCAATAACTACATTGTTTTAACTGCAGTAGTAGAAGCTGAAACTTAAATCTACTGTAGAAGGTTGCATACCACAGGAAAAATCGGTATTTTTAAATAATAAAATACAGTAGAATCCTGAATCAAAATTTTGTTCGAAAACGGTGCATTGCAGACCAAAAGCGTGAAATTTCTTTTGAAGACATTTTTGTATCTGTGTCATGCCAAGTTTTACCAATTTGACCCACTCTTCCCATTTGATCGCGGTATGTTGTTTCCAATTGCAGGAATAGGCGGATCATATCAACTTTTCACATTCCGAATGCTGTTTTGAATACTCATTATTTATTTATTACTTTTACATTATTTGTATGAAAGTCTGATCGCATTGGTGGGATACTGAGGCGATATACTTGAAACTGCTATTATGATAAAGCTTTCAATCGATATTCTTGGGGCGATCTCATTGTGCAAAAATATATGCTCCATTCGCCTCTCTTACGTTGGTCATTAAATTGAATCACATATGTTGAACAAACTAGTTAGTGACGTTTCGGCTGCTGCGGCAGCCTTTATCAAAGAGCGAAGCAAAATAACGACCAACGAATATACAGTGCTTTTCAAAAGAGCTTCCCCCTACTTATTTTTTGAGAGGGTCAAGTTAGAAAGCCGAAATTTAGGATAATGGAATTGATAATAATAATAATTTAAGCGTAAAAGTTGCATTTACAAATTTCAAGTAGACGGCTGGGCGCTATTTTGCATTATATTTCAAAAGGAATCAGGGGTCGCAGAATGTAACATTTTACCGATTTAGCGGGATTTAATTAAAAATCGAAAAGCAAATTATTGATGAAAACATGTTGTTTTGTTGAGAACATGTTCCTATAGGATAGATAAACGCCTCGTTCAATATTAAGTCGCCTATTATTTAGTATACAGGGTTATCCAAATTAAGTGTCCCACCATTAGTAACTTTGTTATTAGTGAAATACAAAGTTGTTTGAATTAGCAAACTAGTAGCATTTTTAACGCTGGTAAAAATGAGAAATAAAAAAAAAAACAATTGAGAGGTCGTTATTTTGATTTTTTTCAGTAAAATAACATTTTTTAAATGGAAACACCTTGTATATTATATTTTTTTCTGTTAAAGCATCAAATTTTTAAACAAAAAAGTTCATAATGACTTTTCCGCTAAAGTCAAAAATAAAGTCAAAATAACGATAAATATTTTTAATTATTTGCAGTATTATAATATTAAGACGGCTATGAAAACAACATGGCGTTCGCGATTTGACAGCATTAAGATAAGCGACAAATTGTTAAACTGGACATACTCGCAACTAGAAGGCTTTGGAAAACAATGATAAATCAAATAATGTCAAACATTAGTGTAAATACTTGTTTATAGCTTTATTGTGTCATTAATTTAAAGAAAAATGTTCTCCCATGAAGAAAAGTGTGATATGTTAGAATGCTATTAGTGTGCAGAAATCCTCCTTGAGAGCAAGAGAATACTACAGTGATTATATCCCGCTTGCATTCAACCGTATGAACGATATTTTCTGAGACTTTATCGAAAATTTAGGGGCAACGAAAATGTTTTTGCTAAAACAAGGGCAAAAAAGAATTCATAAAAGCGAGGCCACGGAAATTGCAGTTATTGGATATTTTGAAGCTTATCGTGAGAATTCAATAGCAGATATTCTCAAGGACTCTATTTCAGTTATGGTACTGTTCAAAGGATTTTAAAAAAATACAAATTTATTCCGTATAAGTACCGACCAGTTCAAACGCTTTTGGCAGGGGATCCAGAGAGAGACTTGTTTTTTGCCATTGGTATCTTAGCTTCTGTCGCCAAAATGTAAATAACTTTCGTTACCTTTTATGGACAGATGAATCAAATTTTTCAAATTCTGGAATGTTTAATAGAAAAAACCACCATTATTGGTCAAGAGAAAATCTTTTGTTAGTACATCCAAGAGGCCCACAAGTCCATTTCAGTTTCAACGTTTGTTGCGGTATAATTGGTTCAAAAATTGTTGGCCCGTTCTTTTATGAGGGAACCCTAACTGGTGAAAGATATGTGGAATTTATGTCAGAAATTCTGACTAATTTCTTAGACGAATTGGATCTTATAAGTAGACATCATCTGCATTTTCAGCAAGATGGCGCACCTGCCCACAACTCCAGAGGTACTGATCATTTTCTAAGTACTACTTTTAATGATCAGTGGATAGGAACAAATGGCCCAATACAGTGGCCTCCCAGATCACCAGATCTAAACCCACTTGATTACTTCTTGTGGGGTTACTTAAAGAACCAAATTTACAAGCGAAGGTACGATAACCTTGACGCGTTAAAGACTGCAGTTAGGGAAAAGATAACCCAGATAGATGGTAGGTCCATACTTAAGACAGTTCGAGCAGTTGAAAAACGTGCCCAAAAATGTATTGAAGAACAAGGTGGTGTTTTCGAGCATCTTCTTTAAAAAAAATTGTTATTGTATTTTGTAAGATTATAAGTTGATGTTGAAAATAAAGTTTGTCGATACAATTTAATTGTTTCAGATTGGAGGCCATAACTTCAACAATTTGTAACCTAGGAGAAAGTTATTGTGAGCTTTTTTGTTTAAAATTTGATGCTTTAACAGAAAAAAATATAATATACAGGGGTTTCCATTTAAAAAAATGTTATTTTACTGAAAAAAATCAAAATAACGACTCTCAATTGTTTTTTTTTTTATCTCATTTTTACCAGCGTTAAAAATGCTACTAGTTTGCTAATTCAAACAACTTTGTATTTTCACTAATAACAAAGTTACTAATGGTGGACACTTAATTTGGATAACCCTGTAGAATACCCTAAGTGCATTTAACCTGATAACGAGATATCATACAGAATTCACCCTTATTCGTCACTCACGTATTATAATGGCAACTGGAGTTCTATATGTAATATTATTTTTGGACTAAGTGTTTGTTTCATTTAGGTGTCAGCATCTGGGAGTAGCTTTTCATATAAATAATATGATTCAGATGAAATTGAGCAAGATTTTAATTTACAATTATTTGAATTTATTTTTGTTATATTCTGGACTTTTACTTTAGTATACCGTAAAACAGATATCTGACAACTTTTTCCATATACTGTAACTGCTTATCTATCTAACGGTAGTGAATTTGTCTGCGATCTTGACTTGGCTTTTTTTAGAATCTATGTACATTCGCGACATTCTATTTTTGAAAACTGTTCATCAAATAGAAACTTAAGACGTTTCAAATTGATAATAACTAATCATGTTGCATACGTTATAGTTTACGACTATCATGTACTTGTCTCGAGTAGATTAGATTCTACAATAACAAAGTTTTGGATAAGATTTGATTAAGTTGCGAAATATTTGCAATTCAGATATTTTACTCAAATTTGAGTGGTGTCTTTGAAAACATATAAAGTTCAAGTGAGTATATATTGCCAAGAGGGATGTGCTATAATAACAAAATGCCCTTTCTACAAATTATTTGTTTGGGTTACATCCACACCAGAGATTCCACTGAAGAAACAAAAATGCATGAGTTTGGCATTGAGATTGCCATGTGGAGTGATTATTCGTGTGATTATAACGTGACATATTTTTATCTATAATTTAACATAATATAATTTTTTTATCTACCCAGGCGCCATCTTGATAGTTTTGAATGTTATATTTATGCAACCATGCATCAATTCCATAATCCCGAATTTCAGGTCCCCAAGCACTGTATGAAATAAATATTGTGACCATGGGTCAATTCCATAATCCCGAATTTCAGGTCCCTAACATGACCCATTCAAAACATAAGTAGGGGGAACCTTTCTGACAAGCACTGTATTAATATTAATAATTGATTTTCATATTAATTTGTAAAAAAGATCAGACAGACAACCACAGGATATCCCTGCATTTAAAAACACGAAAACAGTTGCAATGCGTAAGTTTTGTGAAATGATACTATCATAATTGTGACTAATTGTCCCAGGGTAAAGCCTACTTGCTATGGTAACATGACAGCTCCATTTTCTGTCGCTTGGAGCGGGAAACTCACATCTCCGTTTCATTCTCAGGTCCAAATGGTATCAAACAGATAATTACTCTGACAATACGATGCCCGTTTTCTCGTTTATGCAGTATTTACGTGTAAATAATAAGTAGAGAGGTTTTTATTTCTATAATCAATTGATAGTATTTCACGATGTCTAGAAGAAGCAAGGGGCCATTGCTAAGTACCTACACTATACATACTTGCTCAAATATGTTGGGCGGATTGAAAGATTGTTTCCCAGTTTTTGCAATGTCGATTGTAGAGATTGGTCATTAGCTACGGGGCGGCTGCAGCGAGATTACGTTATACTGGCTTCAGCCGGTGAACTTCAAATTCCTGTTCTGTAATAGTTCAGATATCATCTGTACTGATAAGACAGGTGTTACGAGTCAAGTGCCAATAAATACATCTTCGGAAGGTTGCTAGGAATGAGAATATCAATTCGCTTCGGTTAAAAACTAAACTAGGCTAAAAAAATGTTGAAAATTTTGCCTTTTCCGAAACCCTTTTTGCGTTTCAATCTAGCTATTTCAGTCAATATCATACCTAAGTAGGTAGGGTTTGTATGTTCTAGAACGCCCTTGAGAGTCGACCTTGGGAGCCAACCTTGAACGCATATTTAACCTCGAAATGTGACCTTGAAATGTAACCTTGAAACATGGCCTTGAAATGCAACCTTGAAATATAACCTTGAAATGTGACCTTGAATCGAAATATGGCCTTGAAATATAACCTTGAAATGTGACCTTGAAGTCGTGAGTGGTAGACGGTATGACCTTGGAAATAGTGTTTAAATTAGTGCAGCGCTCGGAGAGGAGGCAGTTGTTAGCAGACAGCACGAATCAAACAATGAGTGCAAGACAAACATTTAAGTTGCCGACGGTGTGGGAGGGGAAGCCGGTGGCGGTTATACGCCCATTCAACAGAATACATCCTGAAGAAGAAAATTGGGACGACCCATGGCCCAGAACGCATATGGGCACCACACCGCCGCATCAACCATCTGAGTCCAGAACACCTATGAACACCACACCGCAGCATCCTCCATCTGGGTCCCGAACACCCATGACACCACACCGGTTAGCCGATATGGAGTCAGGAATCCGTCGCCGGAACTGGCAGTGGAAGAGAATTGGGATGATGAAGCAGGTTCTAATTCGGATCAGTTGATTCAGGTGCCCATGCAGAGAAGTATACCTCCAGGCATGGGTCGTGGCGAGACTAAGATGGATTACACAGGAGAGAAGGAGATTGCGACAGGTGCAGCAGTGAAGGAAGCAGGGTTTCAGAGGGTGGAGGTATTGTTGGCAAACGGAAGCAAGGTTTAAGAGAGTGGAGACAATGTTGGTAGAAGGAAAAGTAGTGGGGTGACTAAAAAGTGCACCAGCAAAAGTAACATGTGCAATGAAGGTAACATATAAGTATTATTCCAAAGACCGTATCCTTCAACGAAACAGAAAACAAAGTACATATCATGTATGCATGGCAATATGCAATAGAGAAGCTCGAAGAAGTAACGGGGAGAGGCAGATAGATGTAGGTTTCAAAGGCGAGTGCAACTAGTCGAAGAAGTGTTAAAAAAATACTTGGCAGTAGATTATAGGCAAACAGTGTTTACAGAAAGGTTTAAAGTGTAAATTATTAAAGTGGGTATGTCTGTGATATGTATAAAAGTAGTAAGAAGTAGGTTTAGTAAAATTGCGAGTATGTAAGTAATGTAAAATAGAGGGGAAGAAGCAACGCTTTGATGTATTTATAAAATAATAAAGATTAAGATAGGAAGATTGTGTAGTGTTATGTGGGAGGAAGGGGTAAAAATACATTAAATGAAGAAACATATGTTTTATTGACAAAAATTATGACATGATGAAATTTTCATACAAATAAAAAACGTTAGACATCGCACACATGCAAATATCTGTTATGGTAAAAACACTTCGCCGGTGAAGGGTGAGGCGGGGCTGCTCTTCAAGCTCGATTATTGGTTTGCTGGTGAAGTTTCTCAGGTAGGCTGCTTTTTCACGTCCTTTCACATAAATTCTGTCTGCCCCATCCGCAATGTGTTTTAATAATGTTTCCAAACTTATGTAGGGTGTAAACCCTGAATTCCAGGAGATACCATGGGTAATTATCAGTCAACCACTTCGCCTGAATCTTCAACGGTGGTGGCAGCAGATCTCAAGGAAAAGGAGCTTTGAAAATATAATGACATAACCTAACACCATCATAGGCGCAAAATTCTTTTGCGAGAATTTATTATTTTCAATTTAAATCCTTGAACATCCAAAACGACACTCATATTGTAAGTTGGAGAATTTGTATATAGAATGCGTCTTTGACAATAGGAATTGAGTGCTTCTTTCAAACTTTGCAATTTCTGATAATACTCTGAGAGCTTGTCTGTAGGATGATGTCATAATGAGAATGAAGGAGATTTAGTCTGAACAAAGATAATTTATATTGTGATTGAGCGTGATTGATTAAGCTCTATCGCTGTTTAACAATTTGGTTAAAGGGTTGTAGGTGAAAACGCGATCGTGTAGGATGAGACAGTAAGCAGATGTTTCCGGAGGAACATTTTCACTTGTCTCAAATTCAATTCGCATAACCACCGATCCGATTGGATACTTTCCTTCTGTTTAGAGCAATCAATATGTGTGATAGGGCAATAGAAAGGAAATCTTTTGGGGAAAACAGAGGTTCATTTTCACTCTCATAATAGGAGGAGCGGAATTTTAGTACATTTCATACAAGAAGCAAATTTTTGGTTTTTAATAAATCCAAAAAGAGATCATTATATGGAAGCGGTCGGAGTTGAGGAAAACCCGAATTTGGTCAACTTGCAATGATCAAATTGTGACATATTGGAGGTAGATACTTGTTTTTATTAGTTTGAAAGGCTAGGATAACATGTCTAGGGGTCTCGAGCTTCGTTGTAGTTTTGACTGGCCAGGTTGACGCGTTGTTTCAGGGAGTGATGGATACTCTACTAGTTCCCAACTGCGAAAATATAGTGAATTTCCATGTTTTTGTTGAGAATTTTTGTAAGAGCTAGTTGCTGAGGAATGTCAACAGATACGTGGGGTACTCTCCACTGCA